CCCCCCCTAGTCATCACCCCCCTCTTTTCCCCCTCCCCCTAAAACAGGGCTGGGATCGGGATAACTCGCCCCAGAGCGTTCCGGAGCGCTCTCAGAGCGTTCCGGAACGCTCTGGAGCGGCCGCGGCGCCCATCCATCCTCCAAACCCGCCGATTCTCAGAAGATTTCGATTTCCCGATCCGATTTTGTCCCGATCTTCGCGTCGCGTCTTCCCCCCCGCCGGGAGCGCGGCGGCGGAGGAGAGGAGGAGGAGGAGGAGGAGGAGGAGAGGAGGAGGAGGAGGTGATGGAGGGGAGGAGTAGGAGGAGGGTGGGAGGAGGGGGGGAGGAGGGGAGGGAGGAGGGGGGGTGGGGGGGGGGTGGGAGGGTGCGCGCGCGCGCGCGGAGCTCCGGTCGACCGGTTCTGCCAGGGTCGCACGGCAGGCCGTGCCCCAGGGCCTCGCCGCCCGGCTGCGTCCTCTGCGCGGGGGGGGCCTCGGCCCCCGCCCGGCCCGCCCGCCTCGCCCTGCAGTTAAGTCGGGCCTGTCCCCCGACAGAGAGGAAGGGCGGGAGGGGAAGGAGGAGAGGAGGAGGAGGAGGAGGAGAGGAGGAGGAGGCGGGGGAGGGAGGAGGAGGAGGAGGAGGGGAGGAGGGAGGAGGGGAGGAGGAGGGGGGGAGGAGAGGAGGAGGCGAGAGGGAGGAGGGGGGAGGAGGGGAGGAGAGGGGAAGGAGGAGGAGAGGCGGAGGGGGAAGGAGGAGGAGGAGGGGAGGAGGAGGAGGAGGAAGGGGCCCCCGAGCGCGGCCTCCGCGCCCCGGGTGCAGACCGGCAGAGTGGGCAAGCCGAGGTCGGGCCTGTCCCCCTGACGGGGGACACGCCCGACATAACCCTACGGTCGGGCTTGATTGGAGAGGACACGCGAGAGGACACGGGACCCTTCCGAGGGCCACGCTGCCACAGAATTGCAGGAGGCATGGGCCGCAAGGCACAGGACACGAGGGTGCCCTCGATGTGGCAGGGTCGACCTGCTAATCCGTACCGCCTGTATGTCGGGCAGGTTCCACTACAGGCCGATTTTGGAAGAAAAACTAAACATAATCAGGAAATACCCCCCAAATAGTCAAACAATGCCAGAAAAACCGTCCCCAGACTATCTTTTGACTATGTTTGACTTTTCCTCCTCAAGAGGGACAGGCCCGACTTAAGCCTCGCCCTGAGAGACCGGCGCCGCATGATATTTTTCACAGCGGGCGCCCTTCCGCTCCGTCTCGGGCCCCGGGACCCTCACAGGTCGATCGGGCTCGAGAGGACCCTGACTCCGGATCCGCCCTGCTTTGGGCAAATTCGTAAGTAGGGCTTGGAATTTCCGCCTTACGTTTCAAGCCCCGCTGATGCGAATTTCCGCCCTACTTTTCTGTTGCCGTTTCCGCCCTACGTATGTGGATGTCCGCCCTATTTTTTCTTGGGTGCAGAAACTTCCGCCCTACTTGCTCGGATTCTTATAGATGGATTTCCGACGCCTTATAAGGTGGAAAAAAAAAGCCAAAGTAGGGCGGATCTGGAGTCAGGGGAGGCAGGAAGATGGGTCTGGGGCACTGGCCGTGACTTTTTGCGAAGCCGCAGTTTTCTTCCTGCGGCGTCGGCTCTCGGGGCGTCCCCGCGCTCGGGGGCTCCGGGGGGGGGGGGGGGCTTCCCCCGTCGGCACGAGCACCTCGTCCAGCCCTTCTCCGTCCTCTTCCCCGTCCTCCTCGCCCTCCACCTCCGTTCCCTTCTCGCTCCTCGCTCCTCTCTCCGCTTCCTCCTCCGCCTCGCTCGTCGTCGTCCTCCTCGTCGTCGTCATCACCACCGCGCCAATCGTCACCACCATCACCAGAAGTAATCCTCGACGCCTTCGCAATCGTCATCGTCGTCGTCATCACCATCGTCATAATCACAGTCCTCATCCCTATCGTCGCCAACACCATCGCCGTGACCATCATCACCATCGTCGCCGTCGTCCCCACATGATCATCACCATAACCCTCATCCCCACACCTCATCCGCATCCTCCCCTTTTTCGACCTCCTCCTCCACCTGACCCTTTCCCGTTATCGTCCTCCTCATCTTTCTGCGTCACCTCCACCTTTACCTCCTCTACCGGCATCCGCTCCTTCTACTTACCGCAAGCTACTCCACCTCCCTCTCCCTCTCCGTCTCCCTCCCACTCCGTCATTTTTTTTTGTTTCTCTCTCTCTCTCTCTCTCCCTCACGGTTTGGCCTCTGCCACATAAACTGGCTCAGTGAACCGAACGGCCAGCACCTCCGCGGAAAGTGGCGGCGGCTGGTGGCACACGGCAGCGCGCGGGATCGCGCCCCTGGCACACCGCGGCACCGCCCTGCGCCCCGCGCGGCGCAGGGCTGCAGCGGCAGGGCGCCGCGCGGAGGCGCCGACGCTTCTCGCACGGCGTGGCCCTCCCCGTCGCCCGCGCGGCGCGCGCGACCGCGCGACCGCGCGACCGCGCGACCGCGCCGGCCGCCGCGCGCT